GTACTTTTCATCTCATAGGGATGTTATGATGATCAAATGATAAGGTACATATAAAAGTGGTTAGACACTGTAAAGTATGATTCATTCATTCAACAAATTATTAGAGGCTTACTTTGCTTGGTACACACGTAATAGTTAACAAAACACTCACCTGTGCTCATAGGAAGCTTCTGTTTTAACATAGGGAGATAGAATAAGCAAAACAGAAGAATATTTTGAAGTCAAAGGAGTTAAGTATTGTGGAGAAAAATAAAGTAAGGAAGGGGAGCAGAGGATACAGAGGTAACCTGGCTGGGCAGGGAAGCCCACTTGAGGGGGTGACAGCCACCTAAGGGAGAAGAAAGGACCAGTCCTACCAATGGATGATGCAAACCCCGAGCAGAGCAAGCAACAATTGTTTGGGCCTGGAGGTGGAACCAAACAGCCCTCCTTTGTAAAACAAATCTTCCTTTTGTGGAATCATTTTAAATACACTCCAACCTCCTGTATACTTGGTCAGCTAGTAAGCTGTGCTCAAATATCTATCTGGTGCACCTCGGAAGGTGACAAAATATAACAGGTAAAGAGGTGAATGAAAAGAGAGTTGAATGGTGGGGAAGTATAAATTGGCATGCCCTCTCTTAAGGGAAATTTAGCAATATATCATTTTTGTCCTTCCACCCAGAACTTCTAGGTACTTATACTAAGAAAATACTGGATTAGGATGTGTGCAATGACCTGGCTACAAAAGTGTGCATTTATGTCAAAATTATAACAGTTCAAAATTTAAAACACCCTAACCATCCACCTATGTGGAATTGGCAATGAAGTATGCTATTTCCACCAGAAATTCCAGGAATGGCTTAGTTCAGGCTGACTTCATTCATGGAACCTATTCCTGAACTAGGCTCTATGACCCAAAAGACAGAAATCACTGTAATAAGGAGTAGTTCTAGTAGCCATTAAAAATGATACTGTACACAGTTGCCAATATTTGTCAAAACACTGTGCACTTAAAATGAGTGTACTTTTTTGTCTTTGCATTTTATTGTCAGTAAAGTTTATCAAAACAAAACAAAAAAATAGAAGTATATTTATTAACATGACAGATTTTTATTTGCGGAAAAAAGTGAATCACAGAATGGCCACATGTGCTGCATATGAGTAAAAGTGAAGTTTAGAAGAATATGCTTCAAAATATTAAAACACTTTCTGTGTAGTTGGCTTATAAATTATTCTTACTGTCTTTTTATTAAGTAATTTTTTATTGGAAAAATTAAAACATGCTCGTGGTTTCAAAAAAATCACAGTACAGATGGAATACAAAAATGATATGTCTATCTCCTTCAAATAACCATTTTTATAGTTTCTTAGATATTTGCCCAAAAAATTTTTTTATATACACAAGCACATACATGTGTATCTGAGTTTTTCTTGGTATAAATAAGCCTTTTGAGCATACAAATAGGAGCAAACTAAATACCCTGTTCTGCATCTTTTTTCCCCTTAATTCACCTCAAATAGAATTCAGTATCAGCATTTATAAATAAATCTGCACCATCTTTTCAAATGACTGTGAATTAATTCCATTACAGGGATGGCCCATAATTAACTTAATCAAGCCCCATACAAATGAACATTTAGATGGTCCTAACTCTTTTGCAAATCTTAAATCCTGGCATTTTCTTTAATGTACCTCTTTTGCACATACGTATGTTTTTTCAATGATCAATTCCTGAAAATGGAATTGCTAGGTTATAAGATACATACATTATTATCTTCATTGCATATTCCAAAATTTAATATGTTGTAAATTATGTGAGTAGTTTTAAAAAGTAAGTTACTTTAAAATGGTATTGGAGAGCCCACAGTTCTTTCCAAAATCCTCATTAAGCTCAACTATTGTTCATTTGGCCCTGAGAGGAAAAGGGGCTATGTGCTGGCCTTATTGTGGTGCGGTGCCCAAAGGACACAATCTTATTAGGTTGCTGTATTTGAGAGGATGATGACTGGAGTCTGAACAACAGCCTCAATAGATAGTCTATCTTATCATATCATAAAATCTCAGGGCTCCTTCCCAAAGATGTGTGCCCTCTTAATAAAGCAGCGGGTTAAGAGAAGCTGCGGGCTGAAGGAAAAGGGAGTGTATCTCTGATATCTTTGGCATCAAAATGCCCTGAGAGAGGCAAAATGGCAAAAAACCATAAAAATTTCATAGCCTATTAAGAGTAGCATGGCAGATTTGGCTGAGGCTAAGAACAGAAGAGGTAAACTTGCCCTAAAAAGAAAATAATGGTTGGACTGAAATTACGTATAGTTTATTGTCCGGACGAAACAGCTTAAAGTTGTTATAGGATCTGATTGCCAAGCAGTATAAGTAAGCTGGGGTTGAAGCAATGTACAAGTGACAGACAGACAGTTCTCATTGCAACTGGCATCTTAGTAGAAATCTGTTAATTGTGTATTCAGGGAAAATATCAGAAAAGGGCATTAAAACAACTGTCTAAACAGCATGAAATGAAAGCATATTTGGCATGTTTCCTCAAAGGACAAGAGGGTAAATGTTGACAACTTTCTTTAAATGTCAGGAGATGAGTTTGCTTAGAATACCTAGACATAGGATTTAAATAATATGATCCAACTAATCATTTTCCACTCCTTGGTATGCTTCTTAGTCCAATAATCCTTCTCAGCTTCTTTAAAAATACACTTTTGCCTTGTGGTTCCACCTCTAAAAATTGTTTGGGTTGCTGTGTTTATACTGATATCAGAAACTAATCTCAGAAGATTAATTTCCATGAGGAAATAACTTAGATATTGGATAAGGTACATTTGGGAGTTGAGGAGTGAGGGGGAGCAGTAAAAGAAATAACTGATAGAAAGAAGTGCTTCAGATGTGTGTACATTTTATACACAGTCTACTACAACAATCGCTGGGCATATATAACTATATTTTAAGTAATTACAAGTAAAAAATTCAGTTCCTTTGTCATACTAGTCACATTGCAAGTGCTTTCTCCATGGAAAGTTCTGCACAGCACTGGATTAGACCTTGGAAATAATTCTCAAAAGACCATTCTTTGGCCAACCCAATTTCCATTGCTTCCATCCATATTTCTAAATGGCACCACGAGTCAACACTTATTTTCTTGCTTCAGATGTCATCTGGTGAAATAATATGAACAGAAATCATTGTACTGGCTGGAAGTTCTTGGAGGACAGGGATATCCCATCTTGCATGCTTGACAAATGCCTAGGACATACTTGGTGCTCACTAAATGTTTATTGGCTGGCTGACTGATACAATAAAGAAGGCATGAAAGAATAGAGAAAGCGCATTACACCAGAACTAAGTTCAGTTCTCTAGACAAGACATCTTATTGAACGATAGGAACCAAATAATGAATCAGAGTTTGAGAAGGATAATTGAACATTGAAGACAGGGTTGCTGTCAAGACTTAGATAGCTTGCTTAATCACACTCCTGTTTTCCAAAGACTCTCTAAATCTGAATCATTCATCTTCTGTTAGTCTGCTTGAAGAAATATTGGCTCAGAATGCCACTCTGAAACTCCTTTTTTACCATAATCCTCTTTGATTTTGTCCTTACCCTCAGCCTTCTTCACTTCAGCAGACTTACATAAAATGTTATGATTCCCACAAATTCCGATTCTAAAGTGTCTGTCTCATGGTGGCATCTATGGAATCACCTTAATTTTACCAGAAAACACTCTCTGGATCACCTTATCAGGCATGCTGGCCGATACATAGATAATGCCATGCTCTGTCTGTGGGCTTTTCTGGCAAGGAAAAAGCCTGTCGTTCTGGAGAGTACACAGACCTTGCACTGCACATACATGGGTTTAAATTTTGGTTCTTTCATTAGCCCCTGTGCGAATTATTGAACTTCTTAGAGTCTTCAACTCATCATCAAAACTAAAAATAATGCCAGCTTCAAAGGTGGCTGAGCCATAGCAGGCCCTTAGCAGATGGCAGCGACTCTTAAAAACTAGGACTGATAAATAACTTGAATCAAAGAATATGAACATGACCTCCCTTTCATGAACATTTTTCTCTAACCGTGTCCTTAGATTTCTATGCCAGCTTACTTTTGAGTGCCTCCATTGTCAACAGATGGATGAAATCACTAACTTTTATTTGTTTTTTATGCCCGGTTTGTCCTTAGATTGACTAGCAGGGTGTAGAACGTGGCCCCCAAGATCCTCACACCCTAGCATTACTCCCATCATTACATGATAAAGGGATTTTGCAGATGTGATAAGGTTGCCATTCAGTTGATATTGAACTAGGGAGGTTATCTGGCTGGACCTAAACCAATTATATGAGTTGTTTAAAAGCAAGAGTTTTCTCCAGCTGGGGGCCGGAGAAGTCAGAGAGATTCAAAGTGTGAAAAGGATTTGATGCAAGAGAGAAATTCTGTGGCTGGCTTTGAATTTGGAGGTGGCATGTGCAAAGGACCTGGGAGCAGCCTCCAGGAAGTGAGAGTAAATCCCCAGATGATGAGCAGCAAGAAAAAGGTGACCTTGGTCCCAGAGCTGCAAGGAAATGGACGGATCTTGGCAGAAGACTCTCTCCTGTCTCCATATAATACCCAAGTCAGGCTGGCAGCTTCATTTTAGCTTCATGCAAGTCTAAGTGCAGGACCTATCTGAGACATCTGATCTGCAGAACCATGAGTTAGCAAGTGAATGTTACCGCATGAAGTTTGTGGTATTTTGTTAGATAGCAATAGAATACCATACCAGTGCACAGGAGGTGGTGGTGGGGCTTGGGGAAAAGGAATAGAATGAAAGATGCCTGGGGCCCAATCAGAAGGGAGTAAGGAGGAAAGGGAAGGTATTGAGACAGGACAAGAGGGAATAAAAATAATGTAAACTTTACACAGTAAATGAAAAATTGTGAAAGTGCAGACAAGCAAACCGGAAAAGGCCTAATATTGTCTTATATTTACCTAAGGAACGAAACAAAATTAAGGAGTTTTCCTTATTTCCTAACATACAGAGGAAAAAGATGTGAAGACCCAGGGAGAACAACATTTGAACATGGAAACCACTATCTACAAATGGAGAGAAACCTGGAACACAGCGTTCACAGCCCTGGAAGGAACCCCACTGCCTATCAAAATCTGTTTTAAGTTGCAGTCTTCATTTTGTAAATGAAGGTTGTGGGCAGGACCTCATACTGGGATGGTGTGACCTGTAGGCAGGCCCTTTAGTTCTAATTCTGACGTCAAACAAGACACGTCTCCTCTCCATACCTGTTTCATCATCATTGAAATGATTTCCTTCTACCATTCATTATTTTATTATATTTTATCTTATTCTACCACCCTGCATTTACTAAGATACTTAGAGCAATACAGAAACGAGACAACTAAATTCAACAATCATTTAATGCACACTTTCTATGATCCAAGTACTTTGCTGGATGATGAGGACACAGAAATGGGCCTGGTGTAACACTGGATCCCAAGAAGCTCCCAGTCTAGGGGACTCTGATGTCAGATTTTTAAATTGACAGATAAAAGAAAGTCAACTCATTAACCATGGGAACTAACTATATATTAACTCTCCTTCTTACTAAAAACTCAGTGTATAAATTCGGAGGGATTGTAAGACTTCTGAGATCAGAATGAAAACATAGCTATTGTGAAAGTGGGAAGTTAACTGAAATGTGTTGATGATCAATAATACATTCACTACTTTACTGCTGATACCGGGGTTCTTGTTTGCGAAGTCGAAGAATGAGCTTCACAAACACCCAAGGTAGGAGAGTCAGGGAGAGGCTTTTATTTAGAAATAAAGTGAGAGGAAAGAGCTCCTGGCTCACTCCAGGAGGGGACAAGACAGCCCGGGGTGGTGTGTTGTCTAGGGGATTTATAGGCAGTAGAAGATTTTAGGGAATGGAGGGCTTGGGGTGTGGACTTGTACCACCTGCCCTGCCCTCAAGGTGGGCTGGGTCGTTGTCTGTCTGCTAGGGCTGTTTGCAGTGAAGTCACGGGGTATGCTGAGATACCCTTGCAGAACACTCAAACATTCAGGGCCAAGTTGCTCCTGGCCTTTTGACCTTTAACTGATCTCACTGAAGATGTCTATATTCCTAGTCTAGTATCTTTACCCTAGAGAATTAATGTGACCTTGACTTTGCATAATGCTGAATACAGAGTTTCGATAGGGACTTTACATTGTTACATTGCCTTGACTGTAAATATCCTGCCTTGCTTTTTCCGGAGGCCCTCACCCTACTCTGTCTAAGCCCACGGTCCCTGTCTCACTGCCATCCTCTTCTAATACCCAAAAGTATTCCAGGCAGAATTTGTCTGAGAAAAACCAAGTCCAAGAGCAAAAGGCAAGGGAAGAAAATCCAACTTCTTCAGCAGTGGTGTTATGAGGAATTTCTGTTGAGGATTTGTGCCTTATATCTTAGCTTAGGAACCACCTATATTAAAATTACACTAAAAAATATTTTTAAGACTGCCATCTGTGAATATAACAGCTATGAGTAACCTGAATATATAGTAACACCAAGTGTGGCTTTATACTGTATGAGTCAAAGTTTAAAGGTAAATCCTAGGCAGACACATAAATTGCAGCAGAACAACCACTGGGGAAGATTAAGATTGGATTTAAAATTGGAAGGGCCAAAATCTGCCTTGGATATTTCTAATGACTGCTGAACAGAGGATAAGTGGTGTGTGTCTTAGTTCTAGACATTAAGGTACAGTGGACCCATTAAAGGATAATCTGGGAAATAATAGTGATGATGATAATAATAATGCAATAGTAATAGCTCTCCACTCTGACCTTGGCTGGACTATGGTTCCATTCAGCTTCCTCCAAGCCCAGCTGTTGAGCTTGCACTAGCTTTTAACTGCTGATCAGCATTGCATCTGTATTCATTCCCACAGAGCAACCTCCTACCTTTGAAGGAATAAATAAACGTAACAATGAGCCCTTCAACAAATGCCCACCCATGGCTATTGTAAAGACTTTGAACCAGTCAGTTCTAGACCTGCAGACAGATTTATCTAAGTGGCCTTTGCCATTATGGAAACCCATGTTGAATGGGAAGACTTACTGCGGCTAGTGTTTCTAAAATAAAAATATAAACTACATGGGAGTCAAGTCCAAAACCACCTGGCAGTTTGCAGAGCAAATCTAAACACAACCTTCTACAGGAGCAAATGTACAGAAAACCCACCAAGCTTTTATAATCCCAGCCCAACTATTTATAAACACTCTTCAGCCGAGGTTCAGTTTTAGCTCATTCTCATGCTAATGTCTAAGTTATAGGCAAGTAAAAACAAAACAAAACAAAATTACTTTTTATCACAGACAAATCTAGGGCCATTTTTTTTCACTACCAAAGAACAAACCTAGGTTCAGAAGTTTACAAATAATTTGGGTGTTGATCATTTCATGAACTAGAAATATGACAAATGATAGCTGTGTCTGAATAGGAGAGAAATAGAGCACTCGCCCTTTCTTTTTTCTGTGTTCTTGATTGTCCTCATTTTTCCCTTTTTAAAATTTTTATTTTGGGTTGCATATTCAGTTAACTGCTTACTGTCATATTCTATTTATCCTCAGTGAAAGACTAAAAAAGTACAAAACACACCCTCCACAGCTATTTGCCAATAATTTCTGGATCCGTAAGGGCTGATCTCATCCTATCCTCCTTTCAGCCCCATCAAAATAATGGATGGTGCAACCTCTCTCTAGTGGTTGCCGGTATGAATAGTAATGTGCTGTGGTAGGAGTTTTTTTCTTCAGACAGGGCAAGAGTCCTAAATGCTACTGCTTGAGTAACCACCATCTTGGAGAAGAACAGGATGAATAAATTCCTTGTGTTAAGTTTACCTTACAGAATATCTAGAGGACAGACTATGGGCGGTGACATAGGTCTCTCACCAGAGATGGACATCATGAGACACATGTCAAGCCTACACAACCACCGCCACCCCAGTCCCCATCCCAGGCCCTTTTCCCGATTCTTGAAATTCTTAAAAGACACAAATCCCAAGCTTTAAGTGTACCTCCTCTCGGAGGCTGCCTGGACTCCCCTCTCTTTGAGTGGGTACTTTGAAGATAGGGTCAGTTGTTGGCTAATTACCATAAAATATGTTAGAAATGTTACCTCCTAACTCCCTGGTTTTTAAAATGGAATATTACCCTTAAGATGGAGTTCCTTCTGTTCTTACTGTTACCATTTATATCTCAGCATTTTTCATCATAGCAGGAAAGTTAACCATGATGCCTGTCCCATGAGCTTGTTTTACTTCAGTGCCAACTACTCTATAGTAGGAGTCAAATGTTTGTTGAATTAATGGATGAACCAGTAAGTGAATAAATAATATCATATCTGATTCAAGGACATCCTTGTAGTTGCCTTGGAAAAAGAATTGATTTCTTTTTCATCTGTAATCTGGGCTGAATTTGTAGTAGCCAACATTTTTTTTTTTTTAGCATTTATAATGCCCAGGCTCTGTGCTAAGAGCTTTACATGAAATGTCTCATTTAATTTTCAGATGATCATAATCTTCAAATGAACCCTCAATTGATGGCATGTTCTCAAAAGTAGCCACTTGTAAGTAGAAGCTGTGTATCTCAGTTCTGGCCTAGCTGACTCATGGCCTGTCCTCCACTGAAACATTTTAGATATAACCTTTCCAGTCCTAAAGTTTTAACTTAAGGAATAGAGTCCTCTGAAAAGTCTAGGTTTGTACCACCTTTGGTGGTAATGGTGGCATGTGGACTTGCTGAGTCAGGGGCACTCCAGAGGGAGGGATGGATCACCTCTAATTCCTTTGTAGTATAAAGACGTCAATCAGGAAAGATACATATGTTAATAGAACTGTTTGCATATTTCCCTCTATCCAGGGCATTTTCTTTTATCTTATTTCAAGTGGGTGAGGTTAATCTTCACATTTCAACTTTGAATACAGAAATGCATTCTTGCTAAATCAGGCACCTCTTTTTCTATGGAAATAATCACAAGACATGAGTGAGGTGATGGTGCAAAATATTCAGCCTAGATTAAATATATTGGGGAGGTGCCATCATATATTAGATATGTCAGATCACATTACATGAAGCATGTTGTGTTAGGAACTCCAGGTTGTTCCCTAATACTTTCTCTGTGGAAAGAGGCCTCTGATTTTTAGCTGTGTATCTGGCTACCCAAAACAAATACAATACTTAACAGAGTTGCGGCCATGTGTCTAAATTTTGGGCAGAACTCTGTAACTGGAAGTACCATGTGGCAGCTCTTGGAATCTTCCTGAAAAGCCTTTTGCTATGCTTCCTTTGCTCCATCGACTTCATTCCCTCTTTCCCAATGGTTGGAATTTTAATGTGTTGGCTGGAGGTAAAGCAACCATAATGGACCGTGAGGTGGCCTTTGAAATAGAGGCCACACACAGGGAAACAATAAGATAGAACAGTCCTAGGTTCTTGAGGCCTTCGTAGATAGAACCTTCATAAAAACCCCATTCTACCTATCTCCAGATTTTGACATAAGGGAGTAGATGTCAATCTATAAGCCACTGTGACAAGTTTATTCATTTATGGCAAAGCTAATCCTACCTGACTAACATGCCAGCTACACAGTAAGACCTTGAGAATAATATGATAGTAATAATGGCTAGGCAACAAATATGGATGTCAACCTTATACCAACATTGTTATACCAACCAAGATAACAGGATCCAGTTATCTTTCTATTAAGATATAGATATTTTATGCAACAGTCATGTGGAATTATAATGGAAATAGTGGTCACTTTAGGGGCCTGGGGAATTACAGAATCAATAGATAAGTGAAACACCAAAAAAAAAAGCTCAACTACTGGGTAAAAGGCAAGGAGAAGAGTTAGCTAAGAACTAGATAACTAAGTGAATACATGAAAACATATGCTCAATAGCTCAATCAAAAGTGGAATTTGAAAGCAAGTTCGGGTTGGCCATTTTAGATCTGTCTCAAATGATTCAGTTCATAAACCTGAGAACAGAGCAAGGTTGTGGTGGGAAGGGGGCTTGTAAAATGGTCTGCCTTGCCTTACTCCATCCATTCCCAGCAAAAGCACTTCTCAAACTGGAGATCTTATCAAATATGCAGATGCTACTTGAGAAGACCTGGGTGGAGCCCAAGAAGCTGCTTTTCTAAGAAGCTCCCAGATGATGCTCATGTTGCTGGTCCACCTATGGACCATGCTTTGAATAGAAAGGCTCTACACAACTTCCAGCGATATCTCTTTAAAACCCAAATCAGATCACTCCAGTCCCCTGCTCAAAACCTTCCAGAGGCTCCCCTGCAATCAGAGTAGAATCCAGATTCCTTATTGTCCCTTGGGACCCACCTACTCTGCCCACATTGCTGGCTGCGTTTCGACTCTCTCCTTTGTCTACTCCGCTCCAGCCTACTGGATTTCTTTTTTCCTCCCAAATATGCCATTCTATTTCAGTACCTTGCTTCACTTTTTTTTAATGGCACTTACCAATACCTGGAATTCCAATTTATTCTAAACCAGTAGAATGTAAGTTGCTGGAAGTCAGTCCATAGTAAGCACCACTGTATTCTCATTACCTAGTACAGTGCCTACTACAACATAGGTGCTCAATACAAACAAATGCCAAAAGCTGAAGATTAGACCACAAAAGTAGCCAAAATAACGGATCCTGAGCACAAAACTTCAGTGGACAAGGGAAGTGTGATAATGCCCTTCTCTGCAATACACACACACAACACACTGTAGTGTCATAGAAGAACTGACTCCAAAATAAGTCAAATCCCTACAGCAAACAGCACCTCACTGGACTCCTGGAGTCCCAGCAGATGGCTGACCCTCAGAAATGCCTGACACTACAAAGCCCATGAGGACAAGGGAAGCGGGGCTCTACCCGGGTATCTGTTGTGAAAGCCAGCCTTTAAGCTCCAGGGAAATGCTTCTGTGACAGCG